CGAACATGTCTACTCTATACGAGCCTAAATCGACCGATGTCTCCCCTCTCGGTTCTAAACGCCGATTAACTAGGTTAGAATGGTGATCAATCAACTAACCCTATAATTCACACAACTCGTATAGATTGAACAAAACACATTCCTCATAATTCACAACAAGATCAAAATCCCTAACCCTAGGTGAATGGATTACTTCATGCTTAGATTCAATTTCATGTTAACCGAAATTAAGAACATAAAAATCAATCAACAATAATAAAATAGAATTGAAAAACTTACAATCGGATTAAGAGTTGCAAGATTTCAATCCAAATATCTTTGTGTCCAACAATCCAAGCATGANNNTAAAAAAAAAAAAAAAAAAAGGGGAGAAATTTATCCTAACAATATTGAGTTTTTGGAGAGAAAAATTGAAAGGAACGATATTGGGGATTGTTCCTTAGGCCTGGGGGGTCGTTTTTATATATAGAGCTCGAAAAACGGAGCTAAAACGAGTAAAAACGGAGAAAAATAAAAACAGGGTCGAACAGGTCGCGACTCGCGAGTTTGACGGGTCGTGGGGTCGCGCAGCTGGTCGGAGGCTCTGTTAAAGTCGCGAGTCGCGACATTGCTCTCGCGAGTCGCGACTTTGGACTGAACTGCGCCATTTTACGTTTCGGGCTCATTTGGGCTCGTCCGAATTCGGAATTGAGTTCCATTTTTTGCTACGCGTCGCTAACGAACCCATCTATCCAATTGTGCTCAACTTTTCCTGAAGATAAAATTCTCCCGAAGCTCCCGACCTACACACCAAAAACGACAAAACACGAAGAAAACCGGGAAAACAAACGAAAAACACTTAAAGACTCAAAATGAAGGAAAACACATAATAAAATACGAAACGGACTAAAAACTAAAGAAACGACCTAAAACGAGAGAAAAAGAAGGATAAAATAAACACGAAAAATGCAACAAAAATAGGACAAACACCCCCGTAAATAAAAATCAAATGACATGAATTTAATTTTATTACTATATCAAATTATATTTTATGTCTTGGAGTGTTGAATGTTGGGTTTATGATTGTACTTACTTGGACACCAAGGTGATAAAGAAATAAACTGATGGCGATAGGCCCAATCCAACGCCACATAAAGCGAGACATCATCAGACGTCACCCTTATCATTCCCAGGTGGGTTCGCCTCACATGCTCACCAGTACCCTTCCTTTTTATTTTATTTTTTATTTATNATTTATTATGTCAACTTTTATATTTCAAATTTGAAATTATCAATTTGTGACTCTCCTACGTGTAAATTGTCGGGCTACAAAAAAATAGTTAAATTCTACAAAGCTAGGATATTAAATATCAAATATATAAACATCACATTATATAGTGTAATATTGAAATATAAGATTGAATCATCTCTTACTAATTTAAGACCCAAAAGATAGGTCAACTATCAATTCGATAAAATTTTCTTTTTGCTTGTACCAGGGCTCGAATTTTATAAAGCTATCAATATTTTCATTATACTTTAAGGTGATGATTGAATATGAATTCAACTAGTAAAAAATTGGTTATTTTTTAACTATAGTTAAATTTAAAAAAAGGTGGTATGGTTAGTTGTTAGTGAATATATTAAAATAATATTTAAAATAAAATAATTAAAGTTGATTTAATGTAAAAGTAGGAGAAAATGATTGGAAGTGATAGTTAGTTAAAATTATGTGAGTAGATGAATACTAAATTAAAGTTGATGTGATGTGTAAGTGTAAGAATGATTGGTTGATATTATTTAATTATATTGATAATATTGGAGATAGTAGAGTTGAGTTAAATTTAAGTTTTGATTAGTTTTTTTACTGTAGAATTTGTATACAATTGCCTCCTAAATCTCCTATCCTTATTGTGGTTGACATCTAACATCAACAGATGTGATAATGTTTACCATCTTGGAGGGCTTGATATAGTATAGAATGAGCTTGACAACAAATCCGGCCTTCAATTTTTAAGAGGCTATCCATAAGCTAAGTCATAAGTGAACTAGTTAAAAATAAGTCAAAGTGAACTAGTTAAAAATATGAAGTGAATAGTGAATACCAATTAATGTGATGTCATGAATAATGGGCAACCAAACACAGACTATAGGAATAAAAAACATTGTTTTTTTTTTCTTTTTTCTTTTTAGTCGCTTGTGATATAGCGACTTCTAGAATACTAGTTGATAGTTTAATTTTGAGTTTATATTAAAATAATGTTTAAAATAAATAATTAAAGTAGATTTAATGTAAAAGTATGAAGAAAATGATTGAAGTGATATTTACTTAAAATTATTTAAGTGGATGAAAGTGAATTTTATTGATATTATTTTATTATGTATAATAATAATTTATTGATATTATTTTATTATGTTGACAGTATCGAGGATAATGAGTTTGAGTTAAAATTGAGTTGGATTTGAGTTAAAAAAAAAAAAAAAAAAAAAAAAA